TATTTGGATCAACCGGATCAGCCAGATCAATTACCAGATCACCCAGATCAGACGGATCCAGATCAGCCGGAGCAGCCAGACCAATTGGATCAATTGGATCAGGCGGATCAATTGGATCAGCGGGATCAGCCAGATCAACCTGGTCAGCCATATCAAGTGGGTGCAGCCGGATCAGCCGGCCGGGTCACTAGTCACTAGATCACCAGATCAGCCCGCCGAATCACAGCATCAGCGGGATCAACCGGCCAGATCCCAGATCACTGGATCAACCAGATCACTGGATCACCAGATCAGCCGGATCTTTGGATCAGCTGGCTGGATCACTGGATCACCATGATGGTCACCGGATCACCAGATCAGCGGGATCATCAGATCAGCCAGCCAGATCCACGGGACCACTGGATCCCTGGATCATTTGATCAGCTGGCTGGATCACCCGATGACAGTATCACCGGATCAGCCAGCCAGAGTACCAACATCAGCCAGATCATTGAGTCAACGGGATCAACCGGATCAGCCAAAGCAGTCGAATCAGCCGAATCATCCGGATCAGCCAGATCAATCGGATCAGCCGGATCAGCCAGATCAGCGAGGTCACCGGATCACCGGGGGTTAGCCGTTTGGATTTTTGGATCACCGGACCAGCCGGAATTGGACCAGCCAGATCATTTGGCTTGATTTTTTGACCACCGGATCAGGCGGCCAGATTATTGGACCATTTGATCACCGTGACAGTGACGGTGACGGTGACGGCGACGGCGACGGCGACGGCGACGGCGACGGCGACGGCGACGGCGATGGCGACGGCGAGTGGCGACGGCGACGGCGACGGCGACCTGCAAGCGACGACGACAACGCGCACAGGGGGAGGGGGGGGGGTGGTCGAACCTCCCTTTCCAGGGCGCCTTCCCGTTTCGAATCTCCCCCTATAACAGCTCTGGGCCCCCCCCCCCTGGTTCGCCCCCCCCCTCCCCTTGGACAGGGGGGCGGGGTCTCCCCCCGAGCAGCTCGGGTACTCCCTCACGCTCTGCAACGCGGCTAGAGGGAGGGGGCCTGGCTCGAACTCCCCCACCCTTTGGACAGGGGTTGTTCAGGAGGGAAAGAAACACACAGACACAACTAATCGTCGGCTCCCAGGAAAATATGCGAAAATATGGGAAGTGGGGGGGAAGACAGAAACACAGAAAATATGGGGAAATATAGGGAATCTGGTTATTTGTGTCTATTTATTTGTGTGTCCCAGTTTCCCTTCATAGAGGGAGGGGGCCCGGCTCGAACTTCCTCACCCTTTGGACAGGGGTGGGTGGGTGCACGGCTCGAGTCCTCTCCCTTGAGGAGGGCTCCCCCCTCCCCCCTCCCTCCTCCTCCTCCTCCTCCTCCTCCTCCTCCTCCTCCTCCTCTCCTCCTCTCCTCCTCCTCCTCCTCCTCCTCCTCCTCCTCCTCTCGGGGGCGGGGGCGGTCAGGGGGGCCGGTGCGCAGGCGCCCCCTCCCCCCCCCCTCGCCGTCCAGGGGGGTGCTCAACACATTGCCAAGGCCTCGTACGGCCGGCGCGCCGCCGACCCGGGCGCCTGCAGGCCTCGGCCTTATGGGAGGGCGGAGGAGGAGGAGGAGGAGGAGGAGGAGGAGGAGGAGGAGGAGGAGGAGGAGGAGGAGGAGGAGGAGGAGGAGGAGGAGGAGAGGAGGAGGAGGGAGAGGAGGAGGAGGAGTAGGAGTAGGAGTATTCTGACCCGGGCGCAGGCGCGGCCCCCCCCGCCCTCCCCGTTCTCCAGAGGCTCCACATCTGGGCGCGGGGCCCCACCCACCCCTGGGTTGCGACGCGTCGGGATGTTTTTTCTGGGCGGGCGTCCACGAAACGCGGTCTTTGCGCCCCTCCCCCCCCTCCCCGTTCTCCAGAGGTGCTCAACATCTGGGCGCGGGGCCCCACCCACCCCTGGGTTGCAACGCGTCGGGATATTTTTTCTGGGCGGGCGTCCACGAAACGCGGTCTTTGCGCCCCTCCCCCCCCTTCCCGTTCTCCAGAGGTGCTCAACATCTGGGCGCGGCGCCCCACCCACCCCTGGGTTGCAGCGCGTCGGGATGTTTTTTTCTGGGCGGGCGTCCACGGAACGCGGTCTTTCGGCCGTCCCGTGCGCCTCTTGAGCCACCCCGGGGCCCTCCTGGGCGGTTCTGGGGTACTCGGGGACTTTTTGGGGGTCGCCTGGAAGCGATCTCGCGAGCCTCTTGCGCCGTCCTGGACGCTGTGAAGACGAAGACACTTGTCCATCTTTTGTCCACGTTCCGCTGTGTTCCTGTGGTCTGCTGTGCTGAAGCTGAAGCTTTGGGGGCCTGAAGCCCAGAGAAGGAGAGAGAGAGAGAGAGAGAGAAGCGGGCCGCTGTGGGCCGCGCCCCAGGGAGGAGCCACTCGGGCCCCATCCCTCCAGGCCCGGCCGAGGGGCGGCGGGGGAGGGGGCACACGCCGTCCGGCAGCGCCGACGGGGCCCGCGCCCGCGCCGTCCCGAGCTCTCCGCCCCACGAGGGGGCGCCGAAAGGCATGACGAACCCCCTCGCGACAGGCGCCGGCTCCGCGGCACTCCCCCCCTCGGCCTCCTCCGCCTCCTCGGGCTCCTCGGCCTCGCCGTCCTCCGACGAGTTCCCGTCGAGAGCCCGGAGCCCCTCGGAGGCTTCGCGCTCGGCCTCGGAGTCCCACCCGGGGGGGCGCCGAGCCCGTCCTCGGCCACCGCGGCGCCGTCGGTGCGGCTGCACGGCACCCACCCCGCGACGCTCCGGGCGAAGGCCTCGAACCGCTGGCCGCCGCACGCCGCAGGGAGGGCCACCCGTGCCCGCCCCTCGGGCCCGCCGCGGTATCCCACTCCGGGCGCCCAGGCTCCGCCGCCCGAACCTCGCCGAAGCCGCGGGCCCAGACCGTGGCGGGCTTCCCGCCGAGGGCAGCTGGCGGCCCCGCCAGCGCCTGCACCTCGCTCTTGGGCGCGCCGTGGGGCGGTCAGACGCTGGGCTCGCGCCACCGGCTCGCCGAGAGCCAGGGCCTGCGTCCACTGCTCGCCCCTCTCGCCCGCCTGCCCTAGCCCGTCGTGCTCCGCCACGCTCTCCTCGCTGGCACGGCGGTCGCCCTCGTGCGCCTCGGCGCCGCCTTCGACGCGTTCCATGCCCCCTCGGAGGAGCGCAACCTCATTCCAGAGCAGCTACTGTGCGACAGCATCGTTGCGCTCGGCCATGGCGGCTAGGAGGGTCGCGGAGCAAGCCGTGCTGACCTGGCTCCCCTCGGCGCCCTCGCCCTCGCCGTGGCTGCTGTCGCCCTGCTCTCCTGCTGGGCCTCCCAGGTGCTCTGGCGGCGGCGGCGGCGGCGGCGGCGCTCCCGCACCTGCAGCACCGCCCACCGGGCGGCTCTGGGCACCACGCGGCTCCCAGAGAGCAGCTGCGCCGTCTCCCTCTTGGGCTCCACGCCTGCCCTCCAAAGCCCTTCGCGGGGAGGGCCGGGCTCTGCCCTGCCGGCTGGAGCCCGGGGCCCGCCGCCCCTCGCCGCGAGCACCTCCTCGGCGGCCTCCTCGCAGCTGCAGGCTGGCGGAGGGGCACGAGCGGCGTGGCCCCGCTCCGCAGCGGCGCACGCCACGACCGGAAGGGCTGGGCGCCTGACCGCAGGCACGCCCTCGGCTTCGCTGGTCGCTCGGGCTCCACGGCGGCCTCGGCGACGCAGATCTCGACTTTCTGCCCCTGGGGTGGGAGCGCTCCCAGGCGGGGCCCGGGCTCGGCCGTGCGCCATGCAGCCGACTCCGCTCCGGCCTCCGGGCAGGAGGCGGCGTGCCAGGCCACGTTGCGCCGCCGCCTGGCCGCCCTGGCCTCGAGCCTGCTGGCGACGCGGGCCGCCAGGACAGGCCTCGCGATCGCCTCGCGCCGCAGCACCTCGGGGTCACCCTCGCTGCCGACTCTCGCCTCGAGCAGCTCGCGGAGCCTGCCGGCCTCGCCACACGGGCCTCCGCCAGCTCGCGCACCAGACGCTGCACGAGGCGGTCCGCGGCGGCGCGTGCACGCGCAAGAGCATGGCATGAGTCAAAATGGCTACGGAGGTCTGCCGTGCTGGTCTGCCGTGCTCTTGTGGTCTGCCGCGCGAGAGGCTGCTGTGTTGCTGTGGTGTTTGCCGTGCTCGTGCAGGCTGCCGTGCTGGTCTGCCGTGCTCCTGTGGTACGCCGGGCTGGTCTGCCGTGCTGCCGTGGTGGCGGTTCACCGTGCCGGTTTGCAATGTTTCTGTGGTCCGCCGTGCGTGTCGGCCGTGCTGTTCTCGTCCGTCGTGCTGGTCTACCATTCGTGTGTGCACGTGTGTGCGCGGCTGTGTGCTTGTGCGCGCGTGTTCCTGCGCGCGCGTGCAGGATGTGTGCGGGGCGGGCGGGGCGAAGTTGCGTAGGGTGAGCGTGCAGAGCGTATGCTGGGCGGGCAGACGAGCACGGCAGACCACAGCACAATGGCACACCAGCATGGCTATCCACAGGGGCATCGCAGAGCAGCACGGCAGTCCACAGCAACATGGCAGATTGGCACGGCAGAGTACAGTAGCACGGCAGACCAGCGCGGCAGCACACAGGAGCACGGCAGACCAGCACGGCAAGCTACAGGGACAGAGCAGAGCATCACAGCAGGCCACAGCAGTACCGCAGACCAGCTCGGCAGACCATGGCAGTGACACGACTGACCAGCAGCGAGACAGGTCAACACGACGAGCCTCCCCATGAACCCGATCTACAAAAGCGACGTTTCCTGTTTTTGCTCGGTCAGATTATCTCATACGCTTTGTCACCTCTGGCAAGCGGAAGCGGGGGTCGCGGATTTCATTCTCTTGATCGGTGTAGTCACCATTCTGTTGATGAACCTCGTAACGGCGGCCGTTGTAGAAAGTGCCATCAGGACTGGCAGGGATGATTTCGAGATGCAGAGGCATCGCATCATGAAGCAGGTTGCGCGCATTGTGCCACAAGTCGACAAGGCGTTCAAGGCAATGGACATCACACAGGATGGAAAGCTGGACCAGGATGAACTGGAGCAGCTCGAGCACATATCGCAGCGGCTTGGTTTGCCACACGAGTTGCGTCATCTCCTGCAGGCCGACAAGCTCAAGGATATCCGATGTTCGCTTCTTGTCTTTTGCTCCGGAGGCAGATGGTCAGAGCCCCGAATCATCAGGGGTAACTCGGGTCAGGGATAACTCGGGTTCGTTTTTCGGGATTCCGAACCCGAGTTACCCCGGACCCGAGTTACCCCGGATATCTCGGGCGTCCAGAGCCCCGAATCATCAGGGGTAATTCGGGTCAGGGCTAACTCGGGTTCGTTTTTCGGGAACCCAAACCCGAGTTACCCCGGACCCGAGTTACCCCGGATAACTCGGGCGCCCAAGATGGAGCTGCCAGGTCTACCGATAGCGCTTCGAGACCGCTCTCCTCTGTCGACGGAGGGGGCCAGCCCACGGGATGCTCTCCGGGGCCCCCGTCGCAGCTGCCGCGCGCCCGCGCGTCGAAACGCGCCCGCCTATGATGGCCTCCTCGCGCTGAAGCCCTGGCCGCGCTCCCGCCGTGCGGCCGCGGCCCGTGCTATGCACTCCTGCCGCCCTGGCCACTCCTCGCTGGTGCGTCGGCCACAGGTCACCCCTGCCCCCTCGGCACGGGCCCCTCCGATCGTGCCCGTTGCCCCTGCTTCCTTGCCTCCTTCCCCCGCGTCAGGGGTCAGAAGGCTCCGATCAGACCTGGGGGGGTGGTGGTTCCGCAGGGCTTGCTGGGCCGGGGATCTCCCCATCGAGAGCAAGCCCTGACCAAGCCGGGGTCGCCCTCCCTCTCCTCTGTTTCGGTTCGGGTTTCCCTCCTTGCCCTGTGGTCGCCGTCGGCCTCGCCCTCGCCCTCGCCCTCACCCTCGCTGTCTTCCTCGGCATCGCCCCTAGCCTCGCCACTGCCCCTGGCCCTCACCCACACTCTCGCCCTCGCCGTCGGCCTTCGCCCTTGCCACCGCCGTTGCCCTTTGCTCCCGCTACCGCTCCCCCTCCCTTCTCCTGTCGCCCGCCGCTTCCCCCGCCTTCCCACCCCTCACCCTGATTAGCTGTCGCCTTAGCCCTCATGACCTACCTCAACCTCGTCCTTGTCCCTCCACCCCTGCCCGCCCCCCCGCCCTCGCTCCAACCCTGACGCTCATCCCCACCCCCATCCTCACCGGGATCCTTACCCCAACCCCGCCCTCACCAACTTTCCCGTCAGCCGCCCCTCACATAGCCAGCTATCCCCAGTCCGTGTGCAGCCCTGCCCTCTGGGTGGCCGCGCAACAGTGCGGATGATACCCCCCCCCTTCTGCCTTTCACCGTCTCTGCGCCCCTCTTGCCCATTGCCCGGGGCGCGGGGACGGGGCCCCTTACGTCGGGCGCCCCCTTAGTGCGGGAGACCCCGAGGAGGGGGCCCGCTCGCGGCCGTGAGCCAGCTACGCATGCACACACACACACAACGATCCCGGCCAAGCCCATCTTGCGCCCAAGATCGGCGCACATGCCCCTTTGGGGCCAAGGCAGGAGGGCGTATGCACCGATACTGCCCCACCCCCTCCCCTCCAGTCTCGGCTCGAGGGTCTCCGATCCACAGCGTAGCCAAGACACGAAGCGCCCAGCACGCCAGTTGTACGCATCACGGGACTGGACACACGCTAGAACCGCGTGTGACCGATTCGTGCCAATTTCATTTCCCCACTAGTTCGCGCCGCCATGCCATGCGCCGCGCCGCCATGCCATGCGCCGCTGCCCCGGCTCTGACCAGAGCGGTGACCGCTGCGTGGACTACCACTTCGGCGTCCCGATGTGCCCGACTTCAGAGCGCGGCTGCCCTGCTGCCTTCGCGTCACGCTTCGCGCCCCTTGCCTCGGCTGCCACGTCTAGAGTTTCGCCTTCAACTAGTGCGCCACGGGAACTACACTCTTCGTTTTCCTGTTCTAGACGACCGGGTTCTTCTTGATCCACCCGCGCACGATCCTACCGATCGTCCGGCCGATCTATTTGAATACCTCCCAGTACGCGAGTTTCAGGCCCCTCATAGTCGAACCTCGCGACGTTCGTGATGCTCTTCGTGCCCTTCGTGCCGGACTCCTACGCTTCCCCCCCGCTGACCAGGGCGACACTCAACTTCTGTGTGGTGTTATCCAGGGGAACCTTCAGGATCAGCGTGGTGACCTTCATGGCGGCCTACGTGTCGTTCGTGATGCTCTTCAACTCTCCCACCCGCCGTCCACGGAGGCCACCAGGCCAAACCTGCAGCCACCTCCCGTGTGCCAGACGATCGCGACCCTCTCGACGAGCGACCGCCGACTGCCACTGGAACTGCCCATCGGCCAAAGCAGCACCTGGCCCCCACTTTCTAGTTCAAGGTGAACCTCCCACCGAGAATCCGCCGACTACCGCTGGCGCCAGCCAAGGAGGCCAACGGGCCCGCACTTCTGCCAGCCCTCCCGCCGTGGTTTATCGTGACCTCCCACAGAGAGAGTCCACCCACCGCCGCTGGAGCTGCTCAGAGTAACCATCAGGCCCAAACTCCAGCCAGTCCCCGTGTCGCCGCCCAGGTCGTAGTCCAACGTGACCCTCCCTCTGAGCGTCCGCGGATTCCTATGAGCTTCAGCCACGGGGGCCACCAGTCCCACGCTGCAGTCACTCCTCCTGCCGAGGCCCCCTGCGACTCCAACCCCGCTGCCGCCGGAGATTTCCACACGGGCCGCCAAGCCAATGATGCTGTCTGCGCAGCCAGCGTGGTTCGTTGTGACCCTCGCGCCGAGCGTCCACCGACACCCGCTAGCGCCAGCCACCGGGGCCACCAGGGCCCATTCCGCCCATTCCTCCTCCTCCTCCTCTTCCTCCTCTTCCTCCTCTTCCTCCTCCTCCTCCTCCTCCTCCTCCTCCTCCTCCTCCTCCTCCTCTACTAGGCCCTCCCGCCGAGCGTCTGCCCGCCGAGTGCCGCCCGAGATTCCCCGCGGGCCCCCGGGCCTGCCGTGCCAACGGAGCCCACGACGCCCGACGACCGTCCGCCGACCGTCCGACGCCGTGCTCGACGACGCCGGCCCGACCGACGACCGCAAGCCGTCCGTCCGCCCGCCGCCCGACCCCCGAAAAGCTTCCGTCCGCCGACCGTCGACGGCCGTGCGCCGACCGTCCGTCCCCTGGCCGCCGACGACCGATCGCCGACCGTCCTCCGACGACCGTCCGCCACCGACCGACCGAGGCTCGTCTCCATGTGGCGCCAGCCGCCACGGTATTCCCCGGTCGGACGTCACCAGCCAGCCAATGGCAGGCGCCCCGGGCCGTCTCTGCGTCTCCGGCCACACGCGGCACTCGCTCCGAAGCCTCTGGTCCCTCTCCGAGCGAGCACGCAGGCTGACCGATAGCTTATCCGCTGACCCCTGGAGTAGCATCTCGGATCCACGACCGTGGATTCCCGGGTGGGCCCCCGCTGAGCGGCGCCACCATGGCCCCCCAGACGCGGACCTCGCCCACATACGCACGGTGGCCCCCCAGCTGGCCACCTGGGCTCCGTTGCGAGCGTCACCCCCGCGATTCGTGCCGCGCCAGGCCGAGGGTCGCGCCAGGGCACCCTCGGCGGCCGCCGGGCCCGAGGCTCGCGTGCACCTCATGCCGCATCCCGAGGAGGACACCGGCGATCCTGGCCCCGTAGCACGACCAGCCGCCCTCGAAGCCGTGCCAGGGCCTGCGCAGCGTCGCGCAGGGCCGACGCCCCAGCTGCCGACGCTGGCCTTGCCTTCTCCCCCGTGCCTCCGCCGTGCGATCGTTTGCTTGTTCCTTGTCTTGCCGATCGGCGCGGGCACTCGCACAAACTCCCCCCCCAGTGGAGAAGATCTTGGCCGTTTTCGGCGCCTTCTTCAAGTAGGTGGAGCCTCCCCCATACGGCGCACTGTTGAAAACAGTCGCGTTAAGAAGAGGTCCGGAGCCAGATCCCCCCTCCCCCCCTCCGTCCAATGTCGAAACACCGAATAAGAGAACGTGCCCGTATCCATGAATGCACCGAGGTGACGGTCATAAACCAGGTCCGCAATCTTATTTGTGATACCCTAAACCTGGATTGCGATGTAGTCCAAGGCGCCTGAAACGCTTCTTTGAAACGCTTGCAAAGGCGCTGAAAGGATGTCTGGAGAGCGTTCGAGCTCGAGAGTGGAGCTCCGAAGGAGCTCCCACAGAGCTCCGAAGGAGCTGCGGCAAAAGGCTTCCAGCACGCTCGTTGGGAACGAGTGTGAAAACGCTTCTTGGAACACGCTGCAACTTTAAGCAAGCCGCTGCGAGGCTGCTTGACTGGCGCCAGAAGGAGCTGCCGGGCCACCCGGTGTGGCCCGCTTCTAATCTGAAGCCCTCTTAGCTGTCAGGAAGATATCCAGGAACTCCTAGGCACGGCGCGCACTCGCGCTCTCGAGGTTTCACCCAAGGCTCTATTCCTGGACCTGGACTTTTTTCAAGCCTCAGGGAACGCCTGCAAGAACACTTGACAGCATGCCGGGGGAGCTTGCGCACCGAGAGAAAGAAGCTTCGCAGGAGCTCGCAGAGCGGCGGGGGAGCTGCGGGAAGGTTTCCCGCACGCAGACTGGGAATGAGTAGGAGAGCGCTTCCGGAACACGCTGTAACTTCAAGCAAATTGCTGCAGGGATGCCTGCCCGGGAACCGTAGAGAGGAAGCTGGCCTACCCTGACCGCGGGCTTCTAATCTGAGGCCCTCTTAGCTATCAAAGAGCTACCCGGGAACCTTCGACGGAGCTGCGGAAAACTCTCAGCACGCAAATTGGGAACGAGTAGGAAAACGCTTCCGGAACATGTTGGTCAGTCAAGCAAGTCTCTGCGGGGATGCCTGCCCGGTAGCCTTGGAGAGGAGCTGGCGTAACCCTGCTTGTCGGCTTCTTCCCTGACACAACCCTTTTATCAAGCAGGTCGCTGCGGGTATGCCTGCCCGGGAGCCGTGGAGAGGAGCTGGCGTAGCTCTGCCTGCCGGCTTCTTCTTTCATAGCCCTTGTACCTTGTAGCTTTCACAAGGAGCTGAAGGGACGCTTTGAAAAGACGCAGAGAAAAGGTGTCTGGAGAGCTTCCAAGCTCGGGAA